AGTACTTTATTTAAAATGGAGTTGTGATAAACTAACATGAGAGAGTTTAAATGACTTAACCCGTTGAATAATTTCGATTACTATTTCCTTTCTTGCTGGTTGCACGAAACCGTTCTCCCTAGCGGCAGCTCGGGCGTAATTTATACAATGAACGATGCGTTCCCCTAGCAGCGGGTGGCCCGCGGAAAGGTTTGCGTCGAGCCGGGCGGGCCACGGGTAAAAGGTTTGAGAACCCCTGCCTTAGAGGACGGGAAACAGCATCCTGGCTACGTGGGCTCTCTGAGGGAACAACGGAGCCCATCCGCCTACCTGGCAGCCTCCCGCCTGCAGCTCTGTGGAAACTTCTGGTGTGTGGAGCCCCAAGGCTGCATTGGGAGGGGAGAGGTGGACTCAGGTTGGGGGCTTCTGTTCTCAGAGCCAGGGGGTTTCCCCCACATTGGGTAGCGCTGAGCCTTTGGAGCGTGGAACATCTCCCTGCCACCGGAAGGGGGCCTCAGAAAGAGACCAGCATTGCGTGTGTCCAGCATTTACAGCAGTTTAATGTAGCAGTCACGCGGCCTTGGAGAATATGAATAACCGCACAGAGCACATCTGAATTCTGAGGGGCTGGTAGTTAAAGAGCTCGAGGCAAAAGTGTGGCCTAGTGGGTAGAACACTGGCCCGAGACTCGGGCATGCGGTGTGTTCTAGTTCTGGCTTTGTAACCGGCAAATCACCTCGGCCCTCCATGCCTCAGTTTCCCCCCTCTGTAAAACGGGGCTGATGACGCCTCGTATGTAAAGAGCTTTGAGATCTATTGAGGATTAAAGCTTGGTGGTATTTACAAAGCCGCAATGTGCATATCAGGTCTGATTCGGGTATCACTCCAGTGGACTTCTGCTGTAGACGTGTGTGACTGCGGAATTGGGCCCAGTGCAGGCCAAGGGACAGCTTTCCCATGTGCACCCAAGAGCAAAGCAAACCCAGAAGCATAAGTAACTAGTCAGTGAATATAAATGAGCAATCCGCCGAAAAACAACACAAACCAGGAAATGTTCGGTGCGTGATATCCAGCCATGAGAACAAAATGTTTTCCCGCTAGCTGATTGCACAGAATCACAGTGTCCATTCATGTCCTTCTGTGCTTTGCCTCTGTGTCTGTTAATTGTTTGCGTAGCTGGGAGCAACAGGGCGGGGTGTATGTGTGTCAGGCAGGAAGCTGTTGAGATGCAGCCGTTAACTGATATGCTCTTCAAGGATCTGTGCCCATGTGATGATCCCCATTAGAAGCACAGTCATTTTGGGAAGAAGTTCCCACACCTTGCTCAGACCTGAGGATGGGCTGTTTTTGGGGGGGGGGGGTTCTCTCTCATACACGTTAGCTAATGAATTCTCCCTTTGCCCCCGGTTGATGTGTAAATATTGGTATCATTGCCCTGGGGCTGGAGAAAGCGAGAGGTTAAATGACTTTCCTGTGGCCACATTGCAGGGGTGAATCAGCCCCAGAGCCAGGCACATTGGTCTCTGTCCACTGGACTATTTTTCCCCTACATACAAACGTTCCAGCCAAGAAAAGTAAATAACTGGGACCCTTCAGAACCCTTCCTGCTAGTGTTTGGGGGGAATCTCCCTATTGAAATGGAGCAGGAGTAGACTGGGACACAGGCATCCCTCACAAACCACACGGGCTGCCTCTGTAGTCCCACAAGACTGGCCCCCGGATGGGGAATAGAACCGGGGTCGGAGGACAGTATGGGGAGACGCTGCTTAGATCAGATCTCAAGGTGTTTTAAACTCTGAGACTTCTGGACTCTGCACACATTACCTTTGCCAGACTCCTCGTACTCATGAGTTCTCCTGCTATTCTGCCTGATTGCAGAAGGGAAGCTGAAACGAAGGATGTTAAATTTAGATTCATTGGCTAATCGAATAGTCGATGCAATTTGCATCGACTATTCGATTAGTCGATAAGGATGCCTCCGCCTTTGAAGTGGAGCAAAAGCCCCAGGGCTGTTGTTATAGTTCAAAGGCTAGTCGATAAGGATGCCTCCGCCTTTGAAATGTAGCAACAGCCCCAGGGCTGTTGTTACAGTTCAAAGGTGAAAGCGCTGAGGGGAGTCCGGGGCCAGCAGGGGATTCAAGCTGTCCCCTGCTGGCCCCGTGCTCCCCGCGGCATTTCAAAGGGCAGCGCTGCATGGAGCCTGGGGGAGTCCCCAGCTGACCCCAGGCTCCACGTGGTGCTGTCGCTTTGAAACACCCCCTCCTCTTGTGCCCCCTCCTGCCTCTTTCTGATAGAGGCAGCAAGGGGGGGGAAAAGCGACAACTCAACTAGTCGTTCGCATCCCTACTAACAACGCTGCATCATTTGCAAGGTACAGTAAAGTGACTGGCTCCCCCTTTGCCTCCCTGGAGTCAGAGTTCTCACCTTTTTCAAATGCCCAGTGCAGGACAATTCATTACTCCCCTCAGCTGGCTGACCAACTGCTCCTCTTCCCCCTCCCCTGGCTGCACAATTGCCAGGCTACGCACTGTCACTTCAATGTTTAGAGCGCCTCAAAGGACAGGACTAGGGATACTCAAAGAGCATCATCTAGATAGGTGACTTGGGAAACAGAAAGGAAGAGAGACGGAGACAACCATGCACACATTGACGTGGTCTATTGACTCCACAAGGCATTGTGTCTGGATGCCTGTTCCTCACCGGGTGTGAGTTACAGCCTTTGTTCCCAGCCGCGGTACGTGTATCCCTGGAGGTAGGCAGAGGTCTTTCCCGGGGTACATCAGCTTATCTAGATATTGACCTAGTTTTACAACTGGCAACATAAAAAGTGCAAGCAAAGTCAATGTAAACCACAGTTTCATACAAACACTGGCTCGTGTGTACAGCTCTCTAGATGAAGATCATCTTTTCTGAAGAGGTGGGTTTGTACCCACAAAAGCTCATGATGGATACAGATCTATATTTGTTCGTCTCTAAGGTGCCACAGGGCTACCCGTTGCTTTTAAAAGTTGTCTGCAATGTAACGAGTACAATGTAAGTACAACATTAATATTCCGACTGAGAGATGTTATAATTGTACGGTAAAAGCGAGAGAGCAGCTTTTCAGTTCTAGTGGGCTGGGATACGTTTGGATTTTTGTGTCTGATTTTATAAGCAAGTTGTTTGGAAGTGAGGGGGAACTTGGGAGTATGTGAGACAAATCAGACTCCTGAAAGGGGTCCCGGAGGCTGGGACGGCTGAGAGTCGCTGAGTAACCATGCCTTAGCCTGTCCGTGCATTACGGAACTGCTGTTTAAACCCTGCCCAGCCCCTTGGGTTGTACTGAGGACTCATCCTGCCACCTTTATTCACTGGACTAAAAAAGGCAGGTTCGAGCCTACATGTGCCCAGTGAGATTAATCCGGCGTTCTCCCTTAGACCTCAGTCTGAAATCGACTTGTGCACTTGTGCCAGTGCAAACAGGTGAGCCCAATTTGCCCCTCGTTCAGCCCCATTGATCTTCTCTGAATGACCTCAGGGATGGACTGGGCACATTCTGTTTAATCATCCTTTACACCAGAGGCAGGGCTAATGGGAAAGAGCTAAGCTTCAATTGACTCCCGTCTACTTGGTCTCCACCTTGCATCTAATTATAGAGATGCTGTTCACCTCTCTACCCAGCCTTTACATACCCCTGCCCCCTGCTGCCCTGAAATGACTAGTTACTCAGCACTGGTAGATTCGTTACATACTTTAAGAGCTTCCAGGCTTCAAAAGCAATGCAGATTTCTGCAGCTAGCAACCTCCCAAGGACCCCGTCGGTTCTGCCGCTGCGTGGGTGGCCTAGAGGACAGGCGTCTATCCCGTGGATTCGCACCACGTGTTTTAGCCTAACCTCCCTTCTTCCATTCCTTGGACTGTGACGTTTTTCGGGTGTCTGAAAATACTCTGCATCTAATTATAGAGATGCTGTTCATCTCTCTACCCAGCCTTTATATACCCCTGCCCCCTGCTGCCCTGAATTGACTAGTTACTCAGCACTGGTAGATTCGTTACATACTTTAAGAGCTTCCAGGCTTCAAAAGCAATGCAGATTTCTGCAGCTAGCAACCTCCCAAGGACCCCGTCGGTTCTGCTGCTGCGTGGGTGGCCTAGAGGACAGACGTCTATCCCGTGGATTCGCACCACATATTTTAGCCTAACCTCCCTCCTTCCGTTCCTTGGACTGTGACGTTTTTAGGGTGTCTGAAAATACTTGAAACCCACTCGGGCTGGAATTGTAACCACCAGCAATTCCAAGCACTAATCCTGCCATCATGGAGGCAGATGGAGTTTTGCTGTGGGCTTCCATGGGAAGTGAGATCAGCTTCTCGTGACTGTTTTGGTGGCTCGTTAGTGACCGAGAAACTAAACTGAATGATTAGTCCGGGGATGCAGATAACATTCACAATTCTCAGTTTGCCACGAAGAGCGAAAATTGGAAATTTATCATGGGATCTGTTCATTAAAACTCACTTCTTTTGCTGTCTTCCAATGAAAGCAGAGAAATAAACGAAGAGGAAAAGCTGTTTGTTCGTTATTTCTGTGTGTGAATCTGGCCCATCATTTCTAATAAAGGCTTTTCTCTTGAATGTGTAGCGAAAACAGGCTTATAATGAAAACCACTTCTCACCCACGTCTGTAATATCCTTCAACCATAAAACCAATAAAAATGCATCCTGCCAGGGTTCTCTGGAAGTTGTGCGCTGGTGCAGCCACTCAGGTGAAATTAAAACGTGCCCAGCTGATTATTAGAGCACTCACAGCTAGGTTTTGTGTTTCTGTTGGTGGTGCACATCCGCACATGCCTCAGTGCACATAAAATTATTCTGCATGTGGATGGAAAAGATAAGAAGGACCCTGTTTCTTTTGTGTTTATGGGAACATTTAGTCCTGTTTAATATTTTTTCCTCCCTGGTTGCCGTTCTTGCTTGCAGCATGTGCTTTCTCTGTGGTGGAGGCTTTTGTGTGGTTTTAACATGTGTCCTCTGCTTGTTCTAGAGATGGCAGATTCGTATTCCTTCAGAGGTGGAAGAAAGGGTGCAGGATCCAGCAAAAGCCGTGTAAGCAAAGAACGCAGCAGGACAGAGATGAGGGTAAATCTGACGCCTGAGCCCCCAAAGCTGGGTAAGGAATTGGGGTTTTCTTTTCTCAAAACCACAGAGGTGGAGGAGATGGGGCAGGCGGTCGGGTTTTGGAACTGCCGCCTTCCAAACCAAGAGCATGAAGATATAACTCTCAGCCTGCCAAAGCCCGTGTGTGAGGGCAAGACCCAGACTGGCATTAGGGATGTTAGATTTCGTGTAATTGAATCATCATGTAACTGCTCCAAATCTTATCGGTTACACCCGGAGTGGAGCACCTAAGGCCCGGGGGGCCAGATTTGGTCCCTAGTTTGCCTGGATCCAGCCCCTGAAGATCAGGGCTCCAGTCCCCGTCCCCCCCATGGGGCTGGAGCACACAAAATCTACTAGCCTGGCCCCGTAGGCTCTGGTGTGCGAGGGGAATGTGGGGATTGTTTTTTCTGCTTCTCGGGGGCCATGTCATAGAGGGGCTTGGGGTTTTGGTTGTGCTTCTCACTTGGGTGTGGCCCTTGACTGATTTTTCTGTGGGTTTCCAGACCCTGATCTAAAAATGGTTCCCCTCCCCTGGGTTTCACGATTGTTGGATAGTCCCCCGGGGCGGGGCCGGTAGCTAGTGCGCTCCCAGCCCCACTCCCGGGGAGCCCCCTGCGCTACTGCCTCTGTATCAGAGGTTGCACGATGAAAATCTGGCTTCCCGCGCAGACCAGCTCCCGCCTGCCGCCCCACACTGCTGCCTCTGACGCAGAGAAGCATTTTCTGCAGACAAGCTCTTACACCCGCCTTCCAGAGCGTGTCTGTGCCCCTAGACTGAACTGGAACGTGGACGGAAGCCCGTGGCGTGGCATGAAACGGGAGCAGAACTCCGGACTGCTGCCTGTCTAGACTGTCGCGCCTGGCGTCTCATTTGTCACACGCGCACACCCCAGGACGGTGGCTCAGTGACTGCCTGAAGCCAGTAGGATTCGGGTGCTAAAGGTGGCCATTCTGGTCAACACTCATTTGTCTATCCAGGGCTCTGGTTGAGTTACAGTGAACCCTCGTTTATCGCGGTAGATAGGTTCCAAACCCGACCGCGATAGCTGAAAATCCGCGAAGTAGGGACACCATATTTACGTATTTATTTAACATGTATATTCAGACTTTTAAAACCCTCCCTTTACGTAGTACTGTTAACAAACCAGTTAGCAGATATTACTACAATAATTAGCAGATATTACTAATTATTAATGGAATTAACGAAATATTTGGGGTCTTCATATATCGCGGCTATTTTCGAAATTTCCGGAAAATCCGCGATATATTTCTTTTATAATATATACATACGTAATGAAAAAAGTCCGCAAAGTCGTGAATCCGCGATGGTCGAACCGCGAAGTAGCGAGGGCTCACTGTACTTTGCGTGGAACCAATGCCGTGGCTGTGCAAGAGCCCGTCGGGAAGCTTCGCCTCCCCATGGAGAGACCTTTTGTGGCCGCCATGTGACTTACATGGTCTTCACCATCCCTCAAGGCTCCCGCCTCCTCACAGTGCAGTTCATTCAGACGCCCAGTACCGCGCCCCGGAGCAATCTCGTTTTTTGGGAACTCTTGGCCCGGATGGCGTGGTCATTCTGTTTGTGATTATTGATTCATGTGTAACGGGATTCGTCACATGGGCAATGGGCTTAAACTGCAGCAAGGGAGGTTTAGGTTGGACATTAAGAAAAACTTCCTTATTGTCCAGGTGGTGAAACACCGGAATAAATTGCCCGGGGAGGTTGTGGAATCTCTGTCACTGGAGATATTGAAGAGCAGGTTAGATAAATGTCTATCAGGGATGGTCTTGCTGGTGCTTGGTCCTGCTATGAGGGCAGGGGACTGGACTTGATGACCTCTCGAGGTCCCTTCCAGTTCTAGTGTTCTGTGATTCTATGGATAGTTTGTGCCAACCCACAATGTCCACAGAAGAGCCCAAAATGTTCCTCCCCCAGCTGGCAGAATGGGGTGGAGCCTTCGCTGACATGGTATTCGAGTGGTCGGCCAACTGGGTGATCTACTGGTCTGACGCTTCCTGGTGCTCTACGCTCCATTTTAAGATGGCAGGCCCCCGAAGACGGCTCTTGTGCTCTTGGAAGTCGGCGTTGGCTAATCTGACTCTGGCCTGCAGGCCTCGGTGGCTAGGCACAGAATAGAGACTCGGCTTATGCTGATGGATGGCGGATGCCACATGAATCATGTGGCAATGACAAAAACCCACTTAGGGGACATTCCCTCTGAAGCATTTGGCATTGGTCACTGTCGGTAGACAGGCTACTGGGCTGGATGGACCTTTGGTCTGACCCGGTCTGGCTGTTCTTATGTGGGAGAACTGGCTGTTTACAGGAAGCTGTGAATGATTTGGAGACACTTTAAAGCAGGGATGCGGAACCTCAGGCTTGGGGGCCGAATGTGGCCCCCTACTTGCCTGGATGTGTCCCCCAAGGCTCAGGGCTCCCCCCAGGATAGGGGAGCCCATGCTGCTGCCCCAGCGAGGGCACACAAATCTACTAGGCTAGGGAAGGCCTCGCTAGCCTCTGGTATGCGAGGGGAGTGGGGGAGTGTCTTTCTCAGTTGGGGGCTACATCAGTGAGGTGTTTTGTGGGTATTTTTATTTTTGCTTCTCATTTGTGTGTGGCCCCTGACTGATTTTTCTGTGGGTCAGTGGCCCCCGAGTCAAAAAAGGTTCCTCACTCTGCTGTGAAGGACTCTATGGGTACGTCTAAACTACATGCCTCTGTCGGCAGAGGCATATAGATTTGTTTGTTCAGCAAAGGCAAATGAAGCCGCGATTTAAATGATCGCGGCTTCATTTACATTTACATGGCTGCCGCGCTGAGCCGACAAACAGCTGATCAGCTGTTTGTC